GGCAAGGCAATGCCTCTGGTACCAATGACAAAGACAACAATAAAGTGAGCAATCAAGAGGAAGAGGACGACGACGACGATCTTGTGGAAGTGATTGAAGATCATCCCAGCGTCTGTGGTTGCCGCTGTTGTGAGTGGGATAAGTTGCTTTGCCAACCAGCCAACTGAACTGTAATGGGGGTGTTCAAGTTAGTTGATTTACAGCAGACATAGATGGCAATGGCGAGCGAGCTTCGGGCAGTTACGGTATCCAAGCAGAATGAGGGAGAGTCGAGACCGCTACACTGGAACAGGTTTCTTGTGTGCTTAACTAGTATTGCACGACTAAAAGTTGTCTACTGTACCTTGCTTATTAGCTTATTCAGTTCTCCGTCTGACCCAGGCGTCGCCTCCACAAGTCTCTGCGCACTCCGTTGCTCTACCTCTGAGTGCCGTTATTCGCTACATGAAGTCTATCATTATTCGCTGTACTAGCTGGCTAGCAAACGAGCTCATGCAATGAAAGCTGGTTGTGTCGCAGTCGTACGGAAGTCCCTCAAGAGGGGGGAACTCAGATTTCAGATTGCGCATTCTGTCTTCTGCTGGTGAGCTACTTGAGCTCATTGATGCTCAACAGCCGAACCGAGCCACGGGATTTCGTGGAGACTGCAGGGATGGCACCCTCTTTTAACCAAGCGTCTCGTGCTAGAACTGCCACAATGAATGGACGTCCACCATCGACTGATCCGACCAACGAAACTGTAGATACCTGTTCAAGTCCAGTTATAATCAACGTGAAAGTGACTTTGGAACCCGTATCAAATTTGGGGCAATGCGTCTGGCTATTCAAAACACTTCCCTTTCCACTGTATGCAACTCCTGCACCGGGACCAACAAGACAATCAAAACAAGCACAGTCAAGTCCTGCCTTCACAATTCCAAGCCAAACATTTTCAGCATCATTCAAAATTTCAACTGTCCATCGAACTGTCTTGTCTTTGATTGGAGGAAACTTCAGCAAGTCTGTCTTGAATTCCTCGCAGGTTGAAGTTATGCTTCCTGAACTGGTCCAGACAGCCCGTGATGGCGTGAATGGTCTTGCAAACATTCCATGTTTTTCCTTTGCAGCTCGTGCTTGGATTTGGAACGCCTGCATTAGTTGTTGCGTTTTGCAGAAACCAGATGGTAGCACAGATGAAGTCAGAAAGTCAGGGTCGAGCTTCTCCAAGCAAATATGATTGTGTACCAGCTCCTTGGCAATTGTCTTTCGTTCCTCGTCTTCTCCGACCCAATGCTGCAAGATTTCAAAGAGCAGGTGTTGTTCTCGTGGTGTTTCGCTGTCGTCTTGGAGAAAAAATTCGAGTGCAGTTTCGCTGATGTTGGCCACCAACGTGCTGTCTTCTTTGCTAATTCCCTCACGGGTTCGGATGATGGTGAGGGCCTTTCTTTTGGCTGCCGTCAGGAGAGCGGAATTGTCTGCTGCACCTGCTTCGACGACTATTAGAGCTAGTGAGGGCATCTTGTCGAGTAAGTGAACGATAGAATTGCACGCTTTCTTGTGGAGCTTCGGGAGGTTATAAAAATGAGCTGCTGCTGTCAAGGACACCAAAGCGCTCATTTTCTCTTGCAATTCCTCACTCGTCTTCTCACCATGCTTGTGCATATAGCCACTTTTGGGAGCTAGAAGGTCAGAGGAAGCAGTGTGGATGAACTCAACAAGCGCATCCACTACATGTCCACTGTAGTGCACCGTGACTCGCTCACTCGAAGACACTTTTGCTAAAATCGTTTGACTCTTTTTAAAAATGGCCAAAGAGCATTTTTGAAAAGACTTCGCTTCGAAGGGAGAGCGCACAGCGGTTGGCCCCAACGACGGCTCCATCGCTACAGGAAAGCTTGACATCGTGATACTTTTCATCCTTCCAGAAGTGACGAAGTGTGTCTTCCAGAGGAGTCTCCTCATTCATGCCGTCGTTGCTGCTCATTTTGGTCGGTGAAGTTTTGACGTTGTGATGGCAATGCGACCGTTCGTGCAATAATAATGCAGCTGACCCCCGACAGTTCCACTACCCCCCATCAATTCTTCACCTTTTCTCACAACTGTCTGCGAAGGAAGAGGACCGATTAGTCATGTTTACTATAGCAAATACAGTACTTTACTACCTCTGTACCGTGTGGTACAAATCCTACACGGCTACGACACACATACCACACGCTCCGTACGTACCGTGTGGTACAAATCCTACACGAAACACGACTGACGTCATCAAATCGAATGAGTCGAATCGCGCGACGTGCGCGCAAATATGTGGCAACACACCTATTGTTAAGATAACGTAATTTTGCTTCCGACCTTGGATTTAAGATACTTCGGAAGGGTACATACCATACCTAAATGTACTTGTACATAATCCCGTCTGGAGTGCATTTGACTGGTGACTTTTACGGGTACCACAACTCAAAACATGTGCAACTAGATGCTCTTGCCCAGACTAGCTTAACCCTCCTCCTTCTCCCCTCTGGAGCCCCTTCAACTAATCACTTTTACGGGTACCACAACTCAAAACATGTGCAACTAGATTGATGAATCCAGACTAGCTTAACACTCCCCCTTCTCCCCTCTCGAGCCCCTTCAACTAATCATTTACGGGTACCCAAACTCAAAACATGTGCAACTAGATGCTCTTGCCCAGGCCAGCTTAACCCTCCTCCTTCTCCCCTCCTGAGCCCCTTCAACTAATCACTTTTACGGGTACCACAAATCAAAACATGTGCAACTAGTTGCTCTTGCCCAGACTAGCTTAACCTTCCTCCTTCTCCCCTCTGTATCCCCTTCAACTAATCACTTTTACGGGTACCACAACTCAAAACATGTGCAACTAAATGCTCTTGCCCAGACTAGCTAAACCCTCCTCCTTCTCCCCTCCTGAGCCCCTTCAACTAATCACTTTTAACGGGTACACAACTCAAAAGCATGTGCAACTAGATGCCTTTGTCAAAACTAGCTTAACCCTCCTCCTACCCCCCTCTGGAGCCCCTCCAACTAATCACTTTTACGGGTAACACAACTCAAAACATGTGCAACTAAATGCTCTTGCCCAGACTAGCTTAACCCGG